ACACACACACACACACACACACACACACACACACACACACACACACTCACACTTCTTCCTGCTTTCTGAAACAGCAAAGGACTCCCCCCACCCTCGAGAAAGTGCTGTCCTGTAAGTGACCAATGGCTGCAGTGGACTGAAGGAACTTGGATAGCTTCTGCTGTACCAAGAATGACAGCAGTTCTCTGGTGCCCATTTTACAGATGAAGAAACTGAGGCTCTGCCAATTGCATAGTCTGTCGGGACCCAAGCACTCTTGTTTGCTGTGTCTGGTCTGTCTGTTAGGCTCCTTACATGCAGACCTTCCAGATCCTCCTGCCTCGTTCTGGAATGATCTGGGTCACCCAGCTGGGCCTCAGCGAGCCAGGCCCACACTGCCCCCTGGGGCCAGTGTGTTGAAATGCAGACATGGTGGGTCACGCATGTTCTGGAACCACACAGCTCCCCCTCCCTGCTGAGCAGCCAGCGCCCTGCTCCCCCGGCCAGGTCCCCAAGCTCTTGGCCTGCAGGTCTCCACAGCCCGCCAGGGTGACTAATGGTTTCCCTGGGGAGGGAGCCTGCAATCCTCGACACAAACACCCGACGTCTTCTGGCTGCAGGACCAACGGTCAGGATGAGCCTTACTGAGGCCACGCCTCAGCTGTCTGGGCTCTGTCTGTGACTCTCTGAGTGTGACCCTCTCAGGTATGTGACCACCCCCAAGCCCTGTAGGAGTGCAGCCCCTCCGGGTGTGTAAAACCGCAAGCCAGGGACACCCCAGGTGTGTAGCTCCTACAGGTGTATGCCTCCTACAGATGTGTAACCCCACAGGTGCACAGCCCCTACAGGTTTGTGACTTTCACAGGTGTGTGATCCCCACACATATTGACCCCCCACAGATGTGTGAGCCCCAAAGGTACATAACCCCACTGTTATATGACCCCCGCAAGTGTGTGACATTCCCCAGGTGTGTGACCTCCCCCAGGTATGTAGCCCCTGCAGGTATGTGATTTACTCAGGTGTATGACCTCAACAGAGGTGGGGGTGTGGGAGACTGGTCCTAAGAGCCAAGGCCTCACTCAGGGAGTTGCACACCTGCAGGCGGGACACATCTGTGGAGGTAAGACCTCTCCAGGTGTGTGACTTCCACAGGTATGTGATCCTCATAAACGTGTAGCCCACAGGTGTGAGACTCTCTCAGGTGTATGACCCTCCCACAAGTGTGTAGACCCTGCAGGTATGGCAGCCACGCAGGTGTGTGGCCCCTACAGCTGTGTGGTCCCCCAGGTGTGTGGTGTCACAGAGACATAGCTCTTCAGGTGTGCAACTCCTTACGCCTTGACTTCCAGAGCTTCCCCCCCCCCAGGGTCCTCCTGGCTTCTCCCCAGGACAGCAGAACCCAAGGACACCATGACTGCACAAGGACCCACAGTGGCCTGGAGGTGTCATGGAGGGAGAGATGGGGCCTTGGCCAGAGTCTGAAGCCAGCAGAGGCCAGGCCGCCAAAGAACCCTTGGGCCATGGCCAGTCAGGTCCAGCACGGGCTCCAGGCTCAGAGGAGAGCCCCAGGGGAAGGCCCAGGGCTTTAGTGGCTCCAGCCTGCCAGCCCCACCCCTGTCCAATTCACTCAGGACCACCTTCCCTGAGGCTGGACATGGAGAACCTCCCCCTACACTACAGAGAGACTACCAACAGTGCCATCTCAGGCCACGTCTCTGGGCAAGCTCGCTCCATGATCTCATGGACGAAGTGAAGGATGTCCCCTTTCCTCACATGGGAATCTTCAGAGATGCTCAGAAGACTGAACAACAAAGAATGGGAGGTCAGGTCCCCTTTCCACCTGAGTCCAGGAAGCCCGTCTAGGTGCTGGGAACCTGAGATGGTCAAGCATCAGTGCTGTGCCTCCAGAGCCCCCACCCTCCTGTGCGTGGGCCGTCACGGTCACGGGCAGTCATCCAGGCACTCCTCCACTCGCCCGCAGCCACCAGGGCCTGGGGGAGCCCAGGAGCCAGAGGCAACATCACCAGCAGCAGCTGCGTGGTCCGCACTCCTTGGGTTCAAACCTGGCTGCTGCCTCTCTCCAGCTCTGTGTCTGATGATGCTGGGCCTCAGTTACCTCATCTGTAGAATGGAGCAAAGGCACTGTTTTCTCCTGGAGTCACGGCAGCTCCGCCTCAGCCACGCGCCTGAAGATGGCCTGCTGGGCTGCGGTCCCCGGCCTTGCCTATCCCGATTCACAGCAGCTTTCTCTGCTAGAAGACATCCTGGTGGGGCCATGGCTAAAACACTGGGTGGCTAACCAGAAGGTTGGGTGTTCAAAACATAGAAACTTTGGCTCTGGGAGCCCTGTGGACAGTTCTGCTCAGTCACACAGGCCACTGTAAGATAGTGCCACCTTGACAAGTGGGTCAGTTTTTTTTTCCTCTGTGACGGTCTCCCAGGCCTGGACAGGGCATGGGGATAGGGGAGCAGGTATGACACAGAGAAGCTATGTTGGGGGGACAGGCTGGAAGGACGAGAGC